GGCTCAGTGGGGGAGGTACAGCGTGGAAAGAAAATGAGGGGGTAAGCATTTATAATTATTATTCATTACAAAATAAAGTTTTAGAAGAGAAAGGTGAAAAGAAGAAATTTGACAGTATTGGTAAGGCGAGAGTTAAAGGTGTTTACCAATCTGACCGTTGGTAAGGAACGTATCTTTAAGAAAGTGACCGTTCAAAATGTAGGTATCATTTTGTTAGTAACGATTTTGTGCAAATAATGCTGAAAAATCGTGTTGTTTAATTATATCTTTAAGTCAATCAATAAAAGCCATATTTTGTCGTATGGCTTTTTTAGGTATTATTAAAGCGAACATTTTTTGACCAGTTTTTAAAATTAATTCATAATTCTTTGAAATGATTGACACATAACGTCAAAAAAGTCGGAAATTCTACTAGTATTTTACTCCGTCAAACAATTTTTAATAGCTCTGAAATTCAGTTAAAATGTGTCCTTTATAACCATGAAACTACTCAAATTTTGTCGTTCAAAAATATTTTTAATTTTTTAAGAAAATCCATTTATTTAGTAAAAAGGTATCAAATATTAAATTCAATCTCATTCGATGGCAATCATTTGACAAGGCCCAGCGGGACTGACTTTTTTGATTGTAATGTCTCGTTTAAGAATTTACTAATGTCATAATAATTTTGTAATTTTTTATCAACAAAATGGTCCTTACGAAATTGCGACTTTTTTAAGAATAGGTTTTTTAAAACATTTCACTAACAAATCAACACATCAACATAAAACTAGCATATTTTACAAGCTGGAATTTCTTTACGAGTTCAAAGAAAAAAGTTATTGTTGTAAAATGTTTTAAACTGTGATACTTTTTAAAATTGTTTCCTACATAATTTTAACTAGCGTATTGCTATTGTCAATAATTTGTTAATTAGGGTAAACGGAGGTATTATTGCAATTGTTTTTTAGTGGTTAGCTTTAAACGAAAGTCCAAGAAATCAAGTGCGTCAAATCGTTGTGACTTTTTTTTTTTTATTAATGTTGGACTCAAAAACAATTGAATTTCACTTTTATAAATGTATAAACTCATAAATATTGATTTAAAAAGAGGTTGTAAAATTCAGGTGTCAATGCTGGTATTATTGTAGGCCTTTATGTATTATTATGCACGTAGTATTGTGGTCAATTTCAATGCCAAATCAACTGGGTATCTGCAATAATACCATCATAGTGAAAGAGGTTATGTGTGCACCAGTTATTGCGGACATGATTTTTTGTTATACAAATGTAAAGTTTTTAAGACTACTAAGGAACTGAAGTTCAATGGATTAAGTACTCTATAACTTGATTTAATGATTTCAAGTATTCACTAGCCATAACTCGTCAGTTCAATAAAAATATAGACATTATTCGAGTGCCGCTATAATTGGAGCAACCGCGATAATACCCCCGTTTACCCTAATTTATTATAAACTAATTGTTCATTTATGAATTTAAGTATCGCTGGCGAGTGTCTTTGCGCTGTTGCTGCGAGTTTTCCTTTAATTTAACTTGCGGATTTTGCTGTGCGAGAGGTAGGGAGTCACACTCCCGCAAGAAGTGTGTATTTCATACACTTGTGCGAGTGTGTCTGTTCCCCCTTCCCGCGTATTGTATAAAACATTTAATGAGGCTTGCCGTGAGTAGGTCTGGCTCGAGCAGCACGCTTGCGGGACTCTCCCCGTCCAGACTTCGAGCGAAGGAGACGTACCTACGCAACAGCAATTATACTCAAGCAAGCAGTATAACGCAGCAAAGTCGTTTTTCGGGCTAAAGATGTGCCCAAGCAGCAGCAACATCGCAGAGATTTACTACTCCACGCTGGATTTAGAATTTTTAGTATCTTTATCTCTTAAAGGCCTAAGCAATAGAGGCAGCATTCAACTAGATAAGAACTGCACGAACGGCTAGCTAATCGTCATGTCGAGGCAGTAATCCTGTTGAAGCGTTGTAAATTTTATCTGCACGATCGACTCGCTATTCGTCGAATCGGCAGACAAATTTGAAGCGTAGACAGCTCGCTTTGTAAAGCTGATCTAGTCTGAATTTTGAGTATTCTTTGATAGCGTCGCGATATTCCGTTATCTCAGAAATTATTGTTAATCTCTTTCTCTTTGGTAAATATATTTGTTGATTGTTTAAAGTAAAACCATTTTGTAAATCCTTTCACTACCCCTCGCAGAAGCTCGAATTTATTCCAGAAAATTAGACAACAAATTTTCACTGTCTTTAACTCGGCAGCAGTCCGAATTTGCCCTGGGTTTTTCCATTCGAGGCTTTCGAAGCTTCTCGAGTCTCGAGAAAAGCCCAGCATATATATATAAATATACATTTTTGTAGCAGAGCGTGGTTGATTTTCTGGAAAACAGATCTATCGTTGCACGCTGCCGTCATCAAGGCCACCGTGACGTTATCGAGCACGCAATCGTCCAAAACAAATCGCTACCATTGGAGAGAGAGAGAGAAAGAGAGAGAAGCATTTGGAGCACACAAGGAAAACTATCACCGTCTCCTCTTTGTGAGGATCTTCGTTCCAGTGACCAGGCTTTTCCCCTTCTTCGCAACCTTCACAGCCCCAAGTCAAGCTTGATTTTCGCAGGCCTGTATTCTTCGGCGTTGGACGAGACCAAGTAAAGGGGGAGAGGTGATAGGGACGGTAAGCCTGTGTATACATCGATTTTTTTCAAAACAAATCAGCGATTGCTAACGCTACGTTGCTATACTACATAGTATTGAGTACCGTTCTATTCTCTTGAATTAGTTATTATGGAAGAGATTTTAAAATCTCAGCTAAGCGGGTACAAACATATCGTGAATTTTTTTGTAAAATTAACGGAAAAGGCAGGTGCAGGGGCACGAACTGCAGATCATTTCAATACGCGTCTAGAGTTGCTCGAGAGATATTGGTCAAGGTTTGAGGAACGACACGATGATTTGCTCAAGTTTGAGGATCAATTGAAAGATAGAGAGTATTTTCACGACGATCTCTATACTTCGGCCGAAGTTGAGTATTCGAGCGCGCGTGCTAGATTACGTGGTAAGCTAGCAGAGCTAAATCCGCAACCCCCTCAACAGAACCCACCAGCTTCACAGCATTTTGTACAAAATTTTAACGCGTCTTCTTCTCGATTAACACTCCCAAGCATTTCGTTACCTACGTTCTCCGGCAGCCAAGGAGAATGGGAGAGCTTTAAACAGCGATTTTGCTCGCTAATTAAGGATAAGGTCGATATCCCGCGAGTAGAATAACTACAACATTTGCTTAACGCAGTTCAAGGCCAAGCGGCGCAACGTTTAAAGGGTCTTGACGTGATTGAAACGAATTTTGATGTAGCGTGGGACAAGCTAGTGCGGCGTTATGACAATCCGCGAATTCGCCTTTTTAATACTCTCGAGAACTTGATACAGCTACCGTTAGTCAAATCTCGCAATGTTTAGGACTTGAATGATATGATGGACCAAGTCGAGGAAGCTGTTCGAGCGCTTCGTGATCTGACTTGCCCCATTGAGCACTATAATAACTGGTTCGTGCATTGCATTATAAGAAAGCTCGATTTAAACTCTCGAGAGGCGTGGGAGGTTTCGCAGAGTGCAGTTGACGGTTTCTCAAGTTATGACGTGTTATTACGTTTTTTAGAGAAGCGTATTCAAACGTTAGAGCAAGCACGCACTACAACCAGGACCTGTGAACTGCGTGGCAAGAAAACGAATAATTCGGCTTCTCGTTTTTCCAATCGTGTGACAGCCAATAATGCCCAGACTGTTGAGTCAACAGACTTGAAGTCCAGCCCTTCATGCGATCTTTTTAGAAACAATCACTGACTGCATCATTGTAGTCAGTTCAATGCTAAAACGCCTTCTCAACGTTTAGAGTTCTGCAAAAAGGCTAAACTTTGTCTTAATTGTTTTAAGAAAGGGCATTTCGCTGACAAATGCACCTCAAAGCATCGGTGTTTTACATGCCGGGCAGCGCATCATACTAAGCTTCATCCGGCTAATTTTCAAATTCAGGATTCAAGCAATCGTGGCTTTCCAAAATCGAATAATAATAATAATAATGCCACACAGGTCACTGGCGCTGCTGCTACTTCTGCTGATTCGGGCGGTGAAATCGCGTCACATAGTGCCTCTGTAGGAGCAACAGTACTTCTGGCAACGGCCCGCGTTATAGTTGCCAATTTGGCCGGTAAATCTCTAGAAGTTCGCGCATTAATCGATCCCTGTGCAGAAAAATGCTTTATTTCAAAGCGCACGGTGAATTTTCTCAAGCTTGATTCCGAGAAAACTTCGCTTTCGGTGATCGGTGTCGGAGCAGAGACTTCTTCTAGATGCTATTCTATTGCTCACGGTATCCTAAGGACGAACAAAAAACAAAATTTTGCAATGGGTTTTTCGGCTTTAGTTCTTAATGAGCTTACTAGGTGCTTGCCGAAGCAAAAGCTCACGCGAGGGAATTGGCCGCATCTCGAGGGCCTAGATCTAGCAGATCCAGACTATACTAATCCTGCAAAAATCGATGTAATTTTAGGGGCTGATGTTTATCCAGCTTTAATCATGGAAGGTTTGGTCAAGGGTCTGGCAGGTACTCCACTGGCTCAGCAATCGGTATTCGGTTGGTTGCTAACTGGAGCTATCGATTCTGGTAATCTGCAAAGCTCGTCGATTCGCGCGTTTTACACGCACACGGAACCTTCGCTATCTCAACTTGTCTCAAGATTTTGGGAGATAGAAGAAGTTCCTCGTAAGTCCTTGTTGACCGCTGACGAAGAAAAGTGTGAGGAGCTTTTCGCAAATTCGTATTCTCGCAATGAAAACGGTCGTTTTGTAGTTCGTCTACCTTTCGCTAAGAGACCCAATTTTCTTGGCTCTCGTGATATTGCTGCAGCGTGTCTGGCTCGCTCTGAGTGGTGACTTCAGCACAATTCTCAACTTGCTGAGCGCTACAAGGCTTTCATGTGCGAGTATATTGAGCTGCAGAACATGGAGTCTGTTCCGGTATCGCAAATTAACAGGCCCAGTTTTTATATGCCTCATCATGCAGTAGTAAAGCCCGACAATATAGAAAACGGCACTGCGTCTGCTCCATTTTTAGCTCTTCGCGTGATGAAGCAGCTGGCCATCGATGGAGCTGCCAACTATCCAGATGCCGCTGCAATCCTGCAACATACGCTCTATGTTGATGATCTCTTCGCCGGAGCAGACACGGTTGAAGAGGCGCTGCGACGACGTGACCAGCTGATTGCTCTGTTAGGGACTGCTGGTATGGCCCTTAGCAAATGGGCAGCGAATGTACCACAGCTGCTATCAGGTTTGATTTCAACGTCTACGGGTGTGGTGAATGTAAAAGCAGACGAGGTAATATCTACTCTTGGCCTTAAGTGGCTCCCCCAAGAAGATAAATTCATGTTTTCGGTCACCGAAACGCACTCACAATGCGAAGTAACAAAACGCTTAATCTTGTCTAATATTGCTCGTTTGTTTGACCCTCTAGGATGGCTAGCACCAATTATTGTCGTTGCCAAAATCATTATGCAAGATTTGTGGATCGATAAGATGGACTGGGACGCGCCTACAACGCAGTCTCTGCAAGCTCAATGGTTGCAATTCCGAGCCAATCTTTCAGACGTACCAAGGATCCGAATTCTAAGGTGGATAAACATAAAGGAGAATGACGACTGGCAGCTGCACGGATTCGCCGATGCCTCGCAAAGGGCTTATGCTGCAGCAGTTTACTTAGTGGTGCCTGGGTCTACGCCTATGCTGCTTGCAGCGAAAACCAAGGTGGCGCCTACGAAGGTGCAGTCGCTGCCAAGGCTGGAGCTCTGTGCTGCTACACTGCTATCTCGACTGACGTCGTATCTCCTCAATTCGTTGCATCGTCCACCGACAGCGATCCACTGCTGGTCAGACTCACGAGTTGTACTGGAGTGGTTGAAGGATCACCCGTCCAGGTGGCAAACCTTTGTTTCCAACCACACAAGCGAGATCATCACTCGGATTTCATCAGCTATTTGGATGCATGTGAGATCTGCTGACAACGCTGCGGACTGTGCAACGCGAGGCCTTAGTCCCGCAGACCTTGCTACATTTCGGCTCTGGTGGCACGGACCCGCTTGGCTTCCGCTACCAGAAGCAGCCTGGCCGTCATCCGTCCCTTTGAGCGCTCAAGCCATTGAGGAGACGCATGCTCTTGCAGCCATGGAGAGGAATGACGAGGAAGTCAGTTTGGTCGCAGGTTGCAGCTGTTTGCCGTCGCTGCAAAAGTTTTCTGATTTTGAGAAAATACTGCGCATCTTGGGCTACTGTGGGCGCTGGCTTCGGAAACCAGATGATGAGCCACGAGAAAGTAACAAATTCATCTCACTACGGGAGAGGGCTCTTGCCCAAAATTTTTGTTACAGAGCCATCCAGCAACAACATTATGACGAGGAGCGAAAGCAATTGCTAGCGAATAAGCTGCTTTCTAAGCGTAGTCCGCTGGCTCGTCTCAGTCCTTTTATCTGCGAACGGGGTTTGATCCGAGTGGGAGGTCGACTACATTATTCGCGACGGACGATACCTTACAACGAGAAGCATCCAATTGTGCTACCAGGGGGATGCATTCTGGTCAAACGACTCGTCGAAGAAGTGCACAAGTTAACGCTTCATGGTGGCGCACAACTTATGTTGTCCCATATCTACCGCTCGCTCTGGATCACTCGAGGCCCGGCCGTAGCAGCAGGAGTCTACAGGCGATGCGTCCGCTGCACAAGATTTGATGGCAGATGCTCTGCCCAGCAGATGGGCCCCTTGCCTGCTGACCGAACGACGCCGTCTCGTGCATTTGCCGTTACCGGACTGGATTACGCAGGGCCCATCCCTGTGCTGTTTTCCAGAGGCCGAGGGGCAAAATCTACAAAAGGCTACGTCGCAATATTTATTTGCCTATTTACGCGAGCTGTACACATTGAAATTGTTTCGGATTTATCCACAGATGCTTTTCTTGCAGCTTATGCACGGTTCTGTGGTCGTAGAGGGGTTTGCAAGAAACTTTATTCGGATAACGCAACAACCTTTAAAAAAGCTGATAAGGAGCTGCAAGCGCTCTTCGCCAAGTCGTCACCCTTTATGGACAGCGTGGTATCAACTTTGGCTACCCAATGCACCCAATGGTCGTTCATTCCGCCACGTTCCCCACATTTCGGCGGACTCTGGGAAGCGGCGGTGCGTAGTTTCAAGCACCACTTCCGCAGAGTCATCGGAGATCACTCGCTTACCTTCGAGGAGCTGTCGACGTTGGCTGCGAAAATCGAGGCATGCTTTAATTCTAGGCCACTGTGCCCCCTCAGCACAGATCCCAAAAACGCAGTCGCTCTCACTCCGGCGCATTTTTTGACGGGCTCATCTTTGCTGTCATCTCCGGAGCCGTACGACGAAGCAACTCAGCCCATTTCACTCAACGACCGGTGGAGGTTGCTGGGCAATCTTAGAGACTCCTTTTGGTCACGTTGGAGGAAGGAGGTCCTACATCTTTTGCAGCGTCGAAATAAATGGTTGGACCCAGAGCCAAACTTGCAAAAGGGGGACGTCGTTTTGTTGACGGACGAGCTCTCGCCTCCAACTCAGTGGCGCCTTGGCTTGGTCATCGAAGCACATCCGGGGGCTGACGGGCTTGTGCGAGTTGTCACTGTCAAGACGGCCACATCCACGTTCACTCGTTCAGTAGTGAAGCTTGTGAAACTACCTACTGAGCCAGAGCTTGTCAACTTTTACCACCAACTGCCGACAAAATCCGCTTCGGCTACAGAAAAAAAAAAAATGATTGTATAAAATCCAAAGAAGTTGGGTAGCTTTCGCGACTAGTGTAGTTACTTGAATCTTTTGTAATTTTGTTATTTCTCTATTTTTTTTTTTTCTTTCTTTTTCTTTCTCATTTACTATAATGTTTTTGTTTGTTTAGCCTCCATGCATTGTAATGCTGCTCAATCTCGATGAGTAACATAGGCATAGCTTTTAATCCGCACATAGGCTTTCCTGTCCCATTAAAATTAAAAGCTTCTTTTTTTTCTTCCCTTTTGCGATTTATTTTGATTTTTTCGACGCTTGTTGCCTCAAGGCGGGCGATATGTTCATTTATGAATTTGAGTATCGCTGGCGAGTGTCTTTGCGCTGTTGCTGCGAGTTTTCCTTTAATTTAACTCGCGGATTTTGCTGTGCGAGAGGTAGGGGGTCACACTCCCGCAAGGAGTGTGTATTTCATACACTTGTGCGAGTGTGTCTGTTCCCCCTTCCCGCGTATTGTATACAACATTTGATGAGGCTTGCCGCGAGTAGGTCTGGCTCGAGCAGCACGCTTGCGGGACTCTCCCCGTCCAGACTTCGAAGGAAGAAGACGTACCTACGCAACAGCAATTATACTCAAGCAAGCAGTATATAGCAGTATAATGCAGTATAATGCAGCAAAGTCGTTTTTCGGGCTAAAGATGTGCCCAAGCAGCAGCAACACTGCAGAGATTTACTACTCCACGCTGGATTTGTAATTTTTAGTATCTTTATCTCTTAAAGGCCTAAACAATAGAGGCAGCATTCAACTAGATAAGAACTGCACGAACGGCTAGCTAATCGTCGTGTCGAGGCAGTGATCTTGTTGAAGCGTTGTAAATTTTATCTGCACGATCGACTCGCTATTCGTCGAATCGGCAGACAAATTTGAAGCGTAGACAGCTCGCTTTGTAAAGCTGATCTAGTCTGAATTTTGAGTATTCTTTGATAGCGTCGCGATATTCCATTATCTCAGAAATTATTGTCAATATCTTTCTCTTTGGTAAATATATTTGTTGATTGTTTAAAGTGAAACCATTTTGTAAATCCTTTCACTACCCCTTGCAGAAGCTCGAATTTATTCCAGAAAACTAATAATTTTTTTTAAAGGGTTGCGCTCTATATGAGTGTTCTTATGTTAAAATAAACGTTAGCAATTATTTAAATAAATGCTTTTTAACAGGAAAATACACAATATAAAGCTAGAAAGTAATATGGAAAAAATTTTACTATTTTTACACTAAAAAAAACTTTTGTGTGGTACACAGTACTGTATGATGTTCCGTTTAGTTTTTTTAAATTGTTTTGGTAAATATTTAAGTTCTTAGTAGGTCTTTCTCTACCTTTTAAAATTCTTGCTGCGTTCATGGAAACAGGACTAAGGAAAAAGAAAGAATTGGAGACAAAAAAGCAAAAGAAATAACTGACAGAGCATTGTGCAGCCCATGTCACAAAAAAAAACTTTTGATAAAATATAACAAATGTGTGCATATCTTTCTTCTGTAACGTGGGCCAACTAAAATTACTAATAAATTTTTTTTTATTTCTCCCTACTCATTTCTTAGAAATTTTTCACGTTGTTTTGAAAGTATTTTGAGCAAGGACTAACGTGCATCTGAAAAAAGGTGAAACACCTGCAAGTTACTCGTACCTACAAAACAATGATGATTCATTTACACGCACACTGGCCTATGCTGACCGGAAATGGAGAACAAACAATATATTTTTGATGCATGAAAATCAAATAACTATGGATGCAAAAGTTTTACTGGAAACATTTAAACTGAGGTATAACATCAAGTGCGAATATAACTTTAGAATAAGATTAAACGGCATCATGCTAAATATGAGTGTTCACACCAATCATGAACTTCCAATTTTCTTTCCTAATTTTTTAATGTTCTTGGCATACAACTTAATAGTTAAATTTCCTAGAATTGTAATATCTGTAACTTTGCTTTATTATCTCAAATCATCCCTCATCAATGTCGTAACTTTTACCTCATATTCATACATACTTTACTTTCGGACCTTATATTATCTTATCTTATCTCCTTATTGCTCTGTGACTCTTAACGTTCAATCCAATATAAATACTAACCAATATAATGTAAATAATTTTCATACTGATAAAGACTACTTGTGTGTATTTGTATGTAGTTAAATTTAGTTATGATTTAGCGAATTACCCTTTTTGATAAATATACTACAGTAGTCTAATTTGTAACTTAGTTATATTCTATCACATTTTTAAATGTAAAGGAAAACGGGAAAGTCAACCCTTCTCCTTTTTCCGACTCATAGATGTCGAGAGAGAGTCTGTACTTCTGCCGCCAACAGGGGTAACGGAATTTTTAATTACCCAGGGTACCACGAGCCAACTCTCTCTTCAATGACTAGCAGCGAAAAACATGTTGACTAAAATTCTACCAAAATTCTGTATTATTTTTGCAACATTATAAACAGTCAAAACTACCTGTGAATCTAATTATGTTAACTTCCGGCAGGTGAAGTACTATTGTTTTTGTTATCATCCTGACTATTTTTTTTTTCTCTCTATCCAAGGTCATCCAGGATGTTTTAATGCACGAAAGAACGCAGTACGAACCCTTTTCTGGATGGGACTTGCAGAAAGCCTATAAATGCTTATTCTAGTTACGGTGTTATTCGCAATAATGAATGGATATCCACTAAACTGACAAGATCTATCTCCTGGGACACCTGGCTAGAAATCAGCTTTCACGTTAATATTTCGAGCCAGGGACACGGAGTGTTGACCATTGATGTGACCTTCCATCGGAGTGTCGTTACCATCGTGATGTTGCCTTCTCTTTATTCCATCTGGTCGCTTGCTGTTTTGCGGAAACATCGATTTTCGCTGCTTCCCCTTGCTGATGGCTCGAGTAAGTCAGCGCAGCTTGGGTCTGCAATGGTTGTATAGCTCCCATCCTCTAAAACTCTATCTGCGTCCAGTAGGCATTTTACTTTTGGCCTCTTCTAGTGACTTTCTGAATACTGGTCAGCTGCCGCTACCTACTCTATGTTTAGAACCTTCTGTTACGCAAGCGAAATATTTGGCTTCCTCCTTGCAATTTTTCTGACAGTAATTTCAGCTGCCACATCAAAAGCATAGCTCCAACAGGTCCTTCTTGTTGCAGTTCCAAGTTATGTGTCCATACCCCAGACATTGGTAGCATCTGAGGACTTCAACCTGTCTCCTTACTTGGCAGCTTGTAAAGCCTATTAGCAGCCTCTTCATTTCTTCTATATATCAGGCATCAGTCTCTTCTGTATTCACTAAAGCTACCTTCTACCCTCTTTTATTTGCCTCTAGTAGCGTTACTGTTATCATATCTGCTGAGCAACTAGGGATTCTACTCAATGCACGTTCGACGTCAGCCTTCTCAGTAATCGGATCCAGATCCCGGATTTCGAGCGTTAACCTTTTCTCGTCTAATTTTACGGATCCTAGCCCTTTAACGATCTAAGCTATACCGTTAACCAGGGCCTCTCTGTCCTTTACTCCTTTAACTTTAAGAAGAAGGTCTTCCTTTTTAGTTGTAGTGACTCCTTTGACTGTGATCTTCTCCTTTTCCGGCTTAAAATCAGTCCTTATCTTCTTTAGGATCTCGGTAAAGCTATGCCCTTCCACGACCTTAATGAGAATTTTCTCCTCCTTTTTCCTGACATTACTAGATCTACCACGATTACCTAGACCATTGCAATTATTATTAATATTATTATTATTATTACTGTTAAGATTATCATCATTATAGTTATTATTATTATTATTATTATTATTATTATTATTATTATTATTATTATCATCATTATTATTATTATTATTATAACTACTACCACTAATATTAAAATCATAAATTATTATGGCAACGGCCACCGTTACTGCTGTTTAAGTATCAGTGTTAATTGATATATCGTAACACACCGAACATTTATTTACCCGAGCATCAATTGAAATGTTAAGCGATTTTCATCGCTCTGTTTGGAACAAGTCCAGTCGAATAATCAAACAGTGTTTAGCATTAGTATATATTAATCATATTCTATCTTAATGTTAATATTAAGTTATAATGCAACTCTGTAAAATTTAAATGTAAAGAAGAAAGGAGGGTCAGAAGTAAGAGAATCACCTTCCCTTCTCTTGCCGCATAATATAAGAGAGCAAGCCGGATGTGGGAAGTGCCAATTTCAAAGTGGCTGATCTAGAGCAATTCTAGCTAATTAAATATTCGGCTATTATCATTTTTTGAAGATTTTTCTCCGGCAAGTTTTCCTGCGACGTTTCAAGCTCACGCATGACCGAGGTCCACTATTCCCTATAAAAAGGCATGGAGGCCCCGAAAACAGGCACTTAATTTTTTCACCTCAAACGGTAGACTGAGTGGTTAGAGTCCAACTCTGCTACCTCCCAGTCTATGAGGTGAGGACACGGTCCATTTTTTTCCTGAAACGGTCGAGTGAGTAGCCAGAGTCCGCCTCTGCTACCGTACGGCCTTTTACGAGCGTGTTTTAATTTTAGTTTCAGACATCTCGCGCAAGCTTGCCACGTGTAGAAAGCGTTTTCCTTTGAATTAAAAATAAGTGTTTATCATCTTGTTATTTTCCTAATTTCTTCTTTTCCTTTTCGCGTGGACATAAACTCTAACGTGTACACCATTACTCACTACAGTAGTAGTACCCATGGAATACCGAAAAATAATTCAACAAACGAGCACACCATTACTTGAGGCAGTATTGGTACCCAAAGACCCATGGGAATTAAATAATCTATTGAATTGTGCGTGAAAACTTGCGGTGTTGATAGATTCTAGACGAGTCACGAATTAAAATACAATTAGCCCCTTTTACGTAACGTCTAGAAGCGATACCTTTACTTGTAACGGTACTGGTAGTTGATAGATCGCAAACGAGACACCATTTAGTACGCCACTATGGGTAATATCGACAAACCTTAGGCACGCCATGAGTTAGTGCATCGGGATACTGAA